GTCCGCCCATCCGCTAGAACTGCGAAATGTGTATTGATGATGATAATATGCTACAAGTAGTATGTGTAAGTAGTATACTAATCAATATATGATTACAGCAATCATAACGGAATCAGTTGGGCCTCTTTTTCTTTTTCTTTGTCTTTCTCTCTCTACCTGTCCGAAATGCCGGTATCTTTTCAATCCACAAACTGTGTTTTCCTTTTTTAATACATTGATTTTGTATCACAAAGCATTTCTTGAAAGGGAAAAGTTTATAGGGAACCGAGGCTCTAAACAATCAAATTTAAATTTATCTAAAAATTTCATTGAAGGAGGTTGTTTTGATGCTCAAATATTTTCAAATTGATCATCTCGACATCAAGAAGCATGAATGTGAGAAAAAAAATGAATTTCAAATTTTGAAAATTAGTATATTTGGATTGTTAATTTTCAAGTTTTCATAAATTTGTCAATGTACACTATTTTGAAACTTTAAACTTTATAAATAAATATAAAAATATATTTTAAAGCTATCACCAAGATTTTCAATATTAAAACCGTATTTTTCAATACTATTTGAAGGTATGCTCTAATTTGATTGTTTAGAGCCTGAGCTCTATACAAACCGCGCCCTTTCTTAATTGGGCCGTGCTATACCAATATCTTGTGGTACATTATCAATCGTACAAGAAAAGGGCAGAAAAAATAGTAATTTATGGTAGTGCTCATCTTTTTCCTCGTCGAAAGAGAAACTCAAGAACGGTTTTAGAGAGACAAAGTGAAGAAAGGTTTTATCTTAGAGAGAGAAGTTCATGACAATCTTGTCCTACCCTTACGACCCATGACTCTCCTAACCTAGGTTTGTCCTTTACTCTCCTCATACACCCGCTCTCTCTCTCCTTGACTCAAATTTATTACACAAAACAATATTGGAACTTAGAAAAAGGCAATCAACAAAGGCTATTTAAGAACAAATTGGCAGGGGATTAGGGTGGGAGATATGGAGTTTTAGAGAGACAGAGGGTGTAGTTTTAAAGAGAAAAAAAAATGGAAGGATTTTGTGGTTTTTGGGTGAGAGAAGGCTGTTAAGAGGCAGGTAAAGTTTCATAGAAAAACAATGAGGGGCACTTTAAACCCACGTTGAAATTTTTGAAGTGTATTTTTTATAAATCATATTAGTTTTTATGTTATTTTATTGTGAGTGATGTAGTGAGGTTGTATTTGTAAATTTGTGTAGTAGGAAGTTATAAAACTAATGGTAAGTAGTTGTTGTTGTAAGTGGGTAGTTTTTATAGTAAATATAGTTATAGAAATCCTCTATTTAAAGAGAGGTGTGTAGTAGAAAATTTGAGCCATATATTTTAAAGTTAATCCTGGTTGTCAAGATTATAATGCTTTTGTGTACCCCATTTTTTATATATGAATGAAATGTCTTTTTCTATCTCGTTTTGGTTGTTCTTCTTCTTTATATGTAGTTGAGTCTAAAAATGTGATGTTGTTACATTAATTTAGAAGCGGATTATGTCGATATTATGGCATCCATCTTTCTATTAGGGTTTTAGAAAGAGAGAGAAGCTTGTCTTTTGAGAACATCATATCATGAGAATTTGATAAAAAAGAAAGGAAAATTACAAAAAAACCACACTTTCTATGCAACTTATCCCCAACTTAAGTTTTTCTCTCACTTTTTTACAAACAAACACACTTTCTATGCAAATACCCCCCTTGGGAGAAATTTCATTTTTCTTAAACAGAAATGCCCTTTTCGTACTCAGAAATCAATTTGACCAGATTTGATGTTGACTTTTGGAGCTCATTTCTGGAGTGAACCACCACAGTGCCGAAGCGCATGATCCACTGCAGGAACGCACATACACAGTGTTGGAGCACTGTGACTCTAGATTACACTGCCAGAGCATACTTACACAGTACCGGAGTGTATGATCCACTGCTGGAGCGCACATAGACAGTGCGGGAGCCCTGTAGTGTTGTACTGCCGGAGTGCACTTACACTGTGCCGGAGCGTATGATCCACTGCTAGAGCACACACTGACAGTCTCGAAGCGCACATAGACAGTGCCGGAGCAACTCCAGAGTGTTGCATTGCCGGAGCGTAAAATTAAGTTGAGTAAGTTACATAAAAAGTGTAGTCCCGAGGTTTTATTTATTTTTATTTTCTTATTTTAATTTTCCCTATAAAAAAGCACAAAGTAGATGACGGAAAAATAGATCCAAGCTCAAAGAATCATTCCATAATGACCATACCAACAACACTACACAGACAATTGCAGAAACCGAACAACCTCTCTCTCTCTCTCTCTCAAATCTCCCTCTCTCTCTAACCCAACAACCTCTCCCTCTCTAAGAACTCTATGTCTCTCTCTCTGTTATGACCATACCAACAACAATACACAGACAATTGCAAAAACCCAAGAACCTCTCTCTCTCTGAAATCTCCCTCTCTCCAACCCAACAACTTCTCCCTCTCTAAGAACTCTATGACTCTCTCTGTTTGGACAGCAAAGTTTTCCAGTAGCTCATCACAACAAAGCGCGATAGAAGAACGACAACGCAGGCCAAGCCAACCGTCCAAAGCATCTTGTCTGGGAGATGAACATAGAACTCAATGAAAAGAACCACAACTAATAGAACTAGGTGGAATCGTACCATAAACTTGATAGCTTTCATGGCTCTAGGAGAGGGTGGGACTTGGAATATGAGATATAGCATCTCGGCAGCTGTAAGGAAAATAACCAAGTAAATCACAAGTAGGGTGCCGATAGCATAGACTCTGGTTGTTGTGTTTGTGGGCAAGAGGATCATGGATCGAAGAAATGAACCAGCCCCGAAGGTTGTGGCGATTGAGATCGCATCCTTGCACTTGAGCTCTGAGTCATTGGCAGTTTTAGTGTCGCTGCCGGATTCCCACAGGTCTCGGGTGGTTCTCAGCGGGTTGTTTATGACCTCCACATCTGGTTCTGGCGCAGCACCTGTCTGTTGTGTGCCACTGGGAAGCTCCTGCAAAGCAAGAGAGGAAGAGAGAGAATCGCGCAAGAATTGTAGTGAGAGATTGATTTGAATTGTAGAGAGAGAGAAAGGGAGGAAGAGTATACCTCTGGATTGCCTGTAACAAAGCTCCACAAACGCATGAAAAACTCTTTTAGAGAGAGAAGAGAGAAGAGGAACCTACCGATCCAGGAGGCCATTGTTATTCATGGATAGAAATTGTGAAAAACTCAAGTGGCTGGAACACGTCTATTAATGGAGGATGAGGCTTATTATGTACGGCCTAGGCTCCATGAAAATAAAATAAGGCCTTAGGACAAAATCAAATCCTTACCATGGAAACGAAAGATTCTCTTGGCTGGAAGTGGATCGAATTTGGCAATCATTGCGTTGTGTGTGGTGGGCTGACCGACCATGACATGCAGCAGTTCAGTTCATTGACACGCCGACCGATTTTGGAGAAGTCCAAAGGACAAAAGAGCTTTAAGATATAATTTAAAATTTTATTTATTTATTTATTTTTGTGTCTTTCTTTCGGTGAATAGTGGAAAGCTCTTTAAGATATAATTTAAAGTTTTATTTATTTATTTATGTTTTTGTGTCTTTCTTTCCATGAATAGTGGAAAGCTATTATGAGACACAGCTTATGGGCAAGACGAGTTTTGGCAGAGTAAAAGTATACGCCCAATTTTGAAAGTTTATATAGAGGAAAAAGTTTATATATGATTGCAACCTTAAAATGTTTGCAAAAACTTCTAATTGATCATCTCGATATCGGAATGTATGAATATGAAAAAATAAAGATTTTACGTCCAAAAAGTAGTGCATCTTGCAATACATTATCTAGGCTATCCATTTTCAAGATTTTCATATGTTTATAGATCTACTTGATTTAAACCATTTTTGAAGTCTAAAATTTTATTATTAGATATGAAAATAGATTTTGAGATAAGCCTAAGAATTATTTTTCACCAAAATTACATGTTATGATCAAACTTGGAGGTGCGCCTTAATTGGATTGTTTAGGATTGCAACCATATAAAAACCACACCCTCATATAAAATTATTATGTCGAATTCTCATGGCTTACTGGATAATGCAAGAGCCACGTAGAAATGAGAGAATAACTATTATGCCAGTAGATAATTAATATAAGGTGGAGGCAGACTATATTATATAACAATTCTACCTTATATTTTTTATTTAAAATAGGATTGGATTCAGGGGAGTAACTTGGACTCGCACAAAAACAATCATCTCTGCCAAAGTCCGAGTACCTTGTCCAAGTCGTGTTTTAGATCATTGGTGAAAAGTGATGCAGTGGAAAGTTGTCGACCATGGTGCGTCGTTCCTTTAGGGGCTGTTTGGATATCTGAAAATATATTGTCTGTGAAATATGTTACAGGCGTAATACATTACTGTGCAATACATTACCTGCTAATGGATTGTCACTATTTGAGTAGTATTTCGATACAACTTGGGAAATACATTGATACTATTTGACTATGTCTGGAAGAAATATAAAAAATGCATTACCATCCAAATATAAAAACATGGCTATGTTTGGCTAACATGATTAGACTTTCGTTTAGTTTCAACATGATAAGTCATTGGAATAATATGATTAGAATAACATGATTTTATTGTGATAAGCCTTATTTTTATTTATTTATTATAGAAGTCTTTCAAATATCTCTCTATATATAATTTCAAATAAGCAATAAATTGATGATACCAAAATCAAAATCTTTAAGGTACAAGTTAAAAAATGAGAAGAAGTTTGATTAGTAAACTAGAAGGTTTGGTAATTGCAGTAGAAAATTTTGAAGCATTGGAGGAGACTAAAGATGTATCTTATTTCAATTGAGTTTTTACTAATCTCTATGTTGTGTAAAATTTTTTATTATGATTGTGTTGTGTAATTTCTCATTGATTACTAATTATTATTATTATTTTTATACAAGAGCTGATGGCGGGCTACAATCCAAATTGGGGATAGGTAGATGTAGAAATTTTTTTATTATGATTGCAGTAAAAAATTGTTCCTCATCAAGTTCAAATCAATTTAGATTTCCCCTTACTTCACTTACCAATTAGTTCTACAACTGTTCAAATCAATTTAGATTTCTCCTTACTTTCACTTACTAATTATTAAAAAATTTTGTTTTTATGTGAGAGTCAGATGAGGGCTACAACCCAAATTGAGGATAGAGGGATGTAGAAATTTTTTATTATGATTGCAGTAGAAAGTGGTCCTCGTACACTTGTTGAAATCAATTTAGATTCCCCTTTTCATATCCCCTACTTTCACTTTCTACTTACCTTAATAATTATACAATACATCGTATACTTGAGAGAGGGAAATGTTTTTTTAAGCGGGGATAGGGCAGAGAGACGCACGCGAAAGATTTCCAAAGATTACCCGTCAACCTCGTAATAGAGTTGTTACCCATCACGGCATGTAATAGATTTAGTGATTTTTAGGGAAATCTCGGTAATGTTTTTCCATTTCCTTACTATTACAGTGTATCCAAACAGCGTACAATGACATTTTTCCTTGTAATCCATTGTCACATAATAGATTTCCACGTACTCAAACGACCCCTTAGTGAATAGTTCATGTAATAGATTTAGTGATTTTTAGGGAAATCTCGATAATGTTTTTCCATTTCTTTACTATTACAGCGTATCCAAACAGCGTACAATGTCATTTTCCTTGTAATCCATTGTCACATAATAGATTTCCACGTACTCAAACGACCCCTTAGTGAATAGTTTGATGTGCTACTTTTCAGCAGTCATCAAATTTTGTCATTGTTTGTATGATTTGGGTTGCTAAGCAGCTTCATTGACACGGCATTGACTCCTACTAATGCAAATTTCTATAGAGATAAGAAGGGATGGAAAGAATGTACAAACAAAGATAAGAAGGATTGAAAAGAATGTTAAAACAAATATAAGAAGGAATGGAAAGAGTGGAAGAAGCTAGAGGCCAATAATTTTGGAAATAAAAACCAGGCTTTTGGGTTGGAGGAGAGAGAGATATTTGGTTTGATACTAGAGTTTATCTGTTGGGAGCCATTAGACTGCCCATCGATAAATTACTTTTGTGACCGTGAAGCTATGCCCATTTAGATATGATGACTGAGAGAGCAATGACATAGGTAATGTAACTATATTGCTACGTGGTGTGTAGAACTTTACTATCTCTAAATCCTCATAAAGGAGTTTTCACCTCTAAGAGTGAGTGTACAGTCTTAGTCCCGCAAGTTGCTTTCAGAGACTTGTGGGTAGATTGATTTATTTGATTGTGAGATGACCAGATATAATGTATGCAGTTAGCTTTGTGAGCCGACTTATACATGCTCCTAGATCATGTCATATGGAGACTTTCAATAGGATTCTCAGATATCTTAAGTCGTCACCCGGTAGAGGTATTTGGATGAAATCGAATGGTTACACTAATCTTATTAGTTATTCCGATGTTGACTTCGGAAGTAGTCCAATTGACAGGAGGTCCACTTTGGTCGGAAGAAATTTAGTTACTTGGAAAAGCAAAAAACAAATGTAGTTGCTCGATTCAGTGCAAAGGCCGAATATAGAGCTTCAACGACAAGTAAATTGATATGGCTAAAATACCTACTTCGAGATATGAGGTTCTCAACGGTCAATCTAATGGAGATGCTATGTGATAATCAAGCAGCTATGCATATAGCTTCCAATCCAGTTTTTCATGAAAGAACCAAACACATAGAAGTTGATTGTCACTTTGTGAGAGAAAAAGTTCAGTAAAAAATTATTAGTACTCTTATGTTCGAAGTGAAGACCAACTTGCGAACACGTTTACTAAAGTTATTGTAAAGACAAAGTTCTATCAGATACTGTCTAAGTTGGCCTCCATTGATATCTACGCACTAACTTGAGGGAGAGTATTGATAGTTATAGTAGTCCAACCTATATTCGGTTGTAGTAACCAAATATTGAGTTTCTTATATTCAGTTATTTTATCGAATTATAATTGTAATAGGATTTCTTTTCTAAATAGCAGGAGCTGTAACTCTATAAATCTCTGGTAAACCAATAGATGTTGTGTTGATTATCTCTCTTCTCTTCTCAATTTCTATTATTGCAACTTCATCAATATGTTTGATGGTACTGGGATACACTTTTAGAACTGGTAAACTTGTCCGATAGGAAACTGTTTTATTACCACAAGGAGCAAATCGTATGAAAAAAATCCCAACCCCACTAGAAGGGGAGTAAGTTACTGGGGATCCGTTACTCATTAGGCTCATTTCTCCACTTTTAGCCCATCCAAATTGGCCCTAAATGGTCAATGTTAAACCAAGATGGCTGCGATTATGTACTTGTATTGGCGTATGAACCAAATCTATGCCTAAGTGTTAAATTCGGTAATTTGAAATGGAGATCTAGGAAGCCACTATGTGATTATTGGATAATTGTACTCTGTTCCTTATTATTTGCAACGTCATGGGTAGATAGATGTACTCTTTATTTTAATATTGTTTTACTAACTTCATACGTAATGTGTATTAAGGATTTCATCACTTTACACGTGCGTGCAGTATTTTAAAATTCGATGATTTTCAATTTAGATTAGTAATCTGGATAAGCATGGTCGGGACCGAATGGTTAGGGCCAGCCTGGCCCGTCCCTGACTGGGCCAAAGAGGGTCTGGGCCGGATTAAATTTTCTTTTAAAAAATGGAAAAACATAAAGGAAAAGGGTTGGGTTGGACCAAACCAGGCAAGCCATGGCCCAGGCCCGGCCCGTCCCAACCCTTAGGCCATGTTGCTCGAGTCCTCGAATCACATTTTTGTGGCCCAGTCCCTAGTTTTCTAGTTCCGAGGCAACCGGGCAGCACCACTGTTACACCTAATAAATTAATGGGAATAAGCCTTCCTTGTTGATAGGCCTTTGGATATTTTCTGTTTTTGTTTTTCCATTTGAATTAGTCCAGGTCATTATGAGTTAAGTTTGAATTAGTTAGAATTGTTATCAGTCTACCTATTTTATTGGAGTCTTTGTGGGAGTCTACGGGTTGTTGGTAGTCTACCTATTTTTTTGGAGTCTTTGTGGGAAGTCTACCTATCTTCTTGGGATGCAACGGATGTATTATCAGTCTATTTAAGACTCATGAGAATAATAAGAAAGCATGCAAAATTTTCACCTTTACACTTCTGTGTAATATTGGAGGTTCTGGTTCCCTCTAAGTAACCGCTGTATTTCCTCAACCTCTTGATCAACACCTAAACTCAAGATAGGGAGGCGAAAGCAAACTAAATATAGCTTGGTACCAAAGTGGTATCAGAGCCTGGCAATAGACCAACGAGTGGAGCAGATAGAGAAGACTGGAGTCACTCTCAAAAGGCCAGATAGAGAAGACTGGAGTCACTCCCAAGACGACTTTCATCTCTTGGGAGGATTTCAAAGAGGGGTTTCACTCTCGATACGATCCTAATCGGTTCCTCGATTTTTTTGGAGAACTCACCAAGCTGCAGCAAACCGGGACGGTACAAGAGTATCAAACTAGGTTCGAAAAGCCGTTGGTCAAGGCTGGGCCTCTACCTTCAGCACGGCAAATGAGTTGCTTCATCAGTGGTTTACGGGATACAATCCGCACTGATGTACAAGCTAATAGACCCCTAACCTTGTCTTCAGCCATTGGGTTGGCCCGTTTGTTCAAGGCTAGAGACCTCTCCCACCGAAGGGCAACTCTGTCAATTCCAAAAGCTGGCTATCAATCTCGTAGTGCCTCCTCCACAAATTCACCCACAATGCTAGTGAAAAGAATGACAACTGAGGAGTTGAACGAGCGACGACGAAAGGGACTTTGTTTTAGATGCAATGAAAAATTTGGGTCGGGACATCGCTGCAAGAAGTTGTTCATGATTCAAGTGACTCTAGAAGAAAACGAGGGTAATTTAGAAATGGAAGATGATGATAGGTATTAGTGAGCAAGTTGAAGAAATACCTGAGATATCTCTGCATGGTATTGCTGGAATCCGTGCACCAGAAACAATGCGAGTTAAAGGAAGTCTTCAACACAAGGCAGTAACTGTGCTCATTGACTCTGGAAGCACTCATAACTTTGTGAGTGAAACCTTAGCCATTTCAGGCGGCAGATTGGAAGTGATGGTGGCTTTAGGCGAGAAATTAATTAGCTCAGGTAAATGTTCTCACACTCAATTAATTCTACAGGGAGTCCCTATATTTCTAGATTTTTATTTATTACCACTTGAGGGCTATGATGTTGTTTTAGGGACTCAGTGGTTGAGTACACTGGGACGCATTGTTTGGGATTTTTCCAAACTACAGATGAAGTTTAGTGTGGCAGGAAAGGAAGGGATA